GGAGTGGAAGGGCCTCCGCGGCTCGAGCCCGGGCGGGAAGTCGAGGTGGAAGGGCCGGTGGCGGTGGCGGGAGTGCCGGTGCCGGTGCCGGAGCCGGAGCCCGGGGCCGGGCGGGCAGAAGACGGCGCGTCCTCGTCCGCGACGTGGGGCACGCGCTTGCTGCCGTCGAAGCCGTCCTTGTACGACTTGCCGGAGCGGCCCACCAGCTCGGGCTTGGCCTTCTCGTAGAGCGCCCACGCGATGTCGCCCTTGTGGCCGCGGGGCGGGCAGAGGTGCGGGAAGCCCTGCCTGTGGGGGTAGCTCTCGCCGGGCGCCGGGCGCCGGCCGATGTGCCATTTGTCAATGAACTCGTCCTCGAGGCCTCGCAACGACGAAGGCCCCGTCCCCTTCTTCTTCGTGCGCTCGCGCAGGAACTTCTCCCGCGTGCGCAGCTCGTCCGTCGTCCAGCCGGGGGGCAAGTCCCGCCCCTCGCCCGCGTTCTCGAGGTGGATCGCGATGCGCCGCAGCTCCTCGTGGCAGTTGAGCTTGCCGGTCGGCAAGAGGTCGTGTGTCTTTCGGTACGCGAGCTCAGCCGTCTGTGCCTGGTAGCCCTTGAGGAAGCGCTCAGCGCCCTCTGCCGACCCGAAGGCCTGCTTGTAGCCCATCTCAGCGATCACCTTGGCCACCTCGGGCGGCACCTTCAACTCGTGGCGGAAGTTCGGCCGAGCCCGAATTACCTGCGCGATCAGCGCGTCGAGCTCCAGCGTGTTGACGCCCTTGACCTGGGGCCGCTGCAACATCACGTCGATCGAGGCGTTGTCATCCCACTGCGCAAGAGGCGTTGTCATCCCACGCGTGGGCGGTGCTGGGCAGCGGGCATTCGGGGGGGGGGGGGCTGGGGGGGTCGCACCGGCTCGCCGTAGGTGTAGCAGTGCTTGGGCTCGTCGCCCGTGCCAAGGCCGCCAAGGCCGTTGAAATAGAGGGGGAGCACCTTCTTCTCCAGCTGCATCCGCCTCACAAGCCTTTCCGAGTCTGTCAGCTTGGGCGGCTCGAGGAGGTCGGCCTTGGTGAAGACGACCTTGATGTTCTTGGACGCCTCAGCCTTGTCGCCCGCCATCAGGCCGAGCTCGATGAGGCATCGGAGCACGTTGCCTCCCAGCTTGATGGCCGTCTCGTTGCTCGGGTGCACGACCAGCACGAGGTGAATCTCATTCTTGTCGAACGTGTCCTGAAGCAGCGCGAGGAGGCCGCCGGTGCCCTCGACGGTGCGCGTGTTGGTGCTGCTTGCCGCGTCATCGTCGCCCTCATACTCCAGGAACGCCGTGCCGTCAGAGATGCCGGGTGGGTCGAAGATCTTGATCCTGCGCCCCGCAATGACCCTACCCCAGTACGAGATGCAGCCCTTGCTGGTCCCGTTAGCGTTGGCCGCGTCGCCCATCTCGAGGATGTCGGGACTCGGTTGGTCGACGGCGGGATCGAGCATGGCGTCGACCTTTTGGCTCTTGCCCTCGTGGATGTCGCCCACCACGAGGATGTTGTAGACAGGCGTGTCCTGCCAGAGCCAGGGACCTGGGCGGCGTCTGGTGGAGAGCACAGCCATGGTGGAGCACACAGCTCTGACTCGCGCGCGGCCGCCTGAGGCCGGGAATTCTTTTTCCGTGGGTTTTTCTCATCTTGTACCGAGCCGCGCAAATAGTTGCAACCCAGTGGCTGCCCGCGCTCGAAGATGTTGTGTGCGCTCAGCGCGCTCGACAGCGACCACAAGCCGCCGCCGGACTCGGGGCGCCGGGAGAAGAGCAACATCGAAGCCGTGAAGGCTTTGGTCCGGGAGAATCCGGCGCTTCCTCTTGGACCAGCTTTGGATGCCGCTGTCAGCGTGGACGCCACAGGCGAGGGCGTAGCAAACAAGAAGACTCGCCGCTACCTCATACAGCAAGGTGCACCCGTCACGGAGCAAGTGCGCCAGAAAGCCACTCGCTTCTTGGATGTTTTCCCACCCGCCATCGGCAGTGCGGCGGCCAGCGGCGGCGGCGGCGCGGCGTCCAGCAGTGGCCGCGCGGCGTCCAGCGGAGGAGACCTGGCTATCAGCGAGGGCGAGGGCGAGGGCGAGGGCGAGCAGGCGGCGGAGGCAGGCGAGGGCTCGGAGGGCGGCGAGAGCGATGGGGGCGAGAGTGACGGCGGCGGCGGCGGCGACGGCAGCGGCGGCAGCGCTGCCGAGGAGTCGAGCGAAGCAGAGGAGACCGAGGAAGACGGCCGGGACGGAGGCGACGGCAGCGACAGCGACTGGCAGCCGGACGAGACGTCCGCGCCGCCGCGCTCCGCGGAGAAGGGTGCGGCGCGGGCGGGCGCGGCGTGGGCGGCGCCGACCCCGCCCGCGCCCAAAGGCAAGGCGGAGGCGGCGCAGGCCGCGCGCGCCGTGGCGGTTGCGCCGAGGCCCGCATCGATCGACCTCACCGGCGAGCCTGATCAGAGCGGCCCGCCGCCAAAGACGCAACGCGCGGCGGCGAACCTGGCGGTTGCTCGGGCGGCGGTGGCGGCGGCGGCAGACAACAAGGGCAGTGACGACGAGGAGGACGACGCGTTTCTGGGTGCGCCAGCGGCTGGCCGGGCGACGCCACTGGCGCCGCGAACGGGCGGCAGCAGACCGGGCAACGCCGCCGCCGAGGAGGTGCCGGTGCCGGTGGAGGTGCTCGATCGGAGGGTGCAGGGCGTCGGCCACCAGTACCTGTGCAAGATCGAGGGCGGCGGCGAGGTGTGGCTGCGCGGGGCGCTGCTCAAGGAGAGCCACCCGCAGCTGCTCGAGGCCTTTGGAGGCGGCGGCGGCGGCGGCGGCGGCGGCGGCGGCGGCGGCGGCGGCGGCGGCACAGGCACCGGCGGCGGCGGCGGCGGCACCCGCGGCGGCACGAGCGGCGGCACGAGCGGAGCTAGAAGCAGCGGGTGCGCAGATGTTGTCATTCGCGTCTCGCAGTACGAGAAGGACGACTCATTGACGAGTGCCATGGCGAAATGCGAAAGCCGCGGCTTCGAGGAGGCGGGCGCCCTCATGGACGGCGTGTGGGAGAACCTGCGCATTCTGATGACCAGCGAGCACCGCGGAGCGATGCAGTCGGACAAGGAGGGCGCCGGCCGCGACCATTGGTGCAAGCGCTTCTGCCGCGAGGGCGCGGAGTACAAGAAGACCGAGGTGATGGCGCTGCGGCACGAGAGCCTGTTGAAGTACGACATCTTCGTCTCGCGGGAGCACGCCTACGTGTCAAAGAAGCGCAAGCGCGCCTGCGTTGAGTGGCCATCTGCTGGGAGGAATCGCGCTGACGCGTGCATCTGGCTGCGCCGCCGCTCCTCGCCCCGGCTAGGCCTCGAGCCGCCGAAGCTGCTGTGGGACCGCGACGCGCTCGACGCCGAGCTCGACGCGCCCGGCGGCCTGCAGTGCGCCCTCGTTCTCGAGTTCAAGTGAGCCTTAGCTTGTTACCCTCCTCTTTACGCGTTGCCACCTCTCCCACCGCCCGTTTCTCAAGGTACGGAGGCGAGGAGAAGATCAAGGCGGCCGACAAGAAACAAGCTGTCGGCTACTGCAACGGCATCTCCAAGCTCCTGCAGCTCGACTATCCCAACACGCCGTTCCGGGTCGTCCCCGGCTTCGTCAACGTCTACCTGGGCGTCGGGACCACCAACGTCGATAAGGGCGCGAGCCGCTCGACGAAGTGCGAGTACGGCGTGCGCATGAACGAGAACATCGCCGACATTGACGCGGACTCGATCTCTTGATCGCCGGCGCATCAGCAGCCGACGAGCTGCTACCGCGCGAGCCGGAGCTGTGCGCCAGCGCCAGTGCCCCAGCGCGATGCGCCAGCGCCAGTGCCCCGGCGCGATTGATGGGAGCCCTTCTCCCAGGTTCGGGGCTCGACGAACGTACGCGGAGTGGGAGAGGGAGGAGTGTTTATTGCACACTTGTCCGGGCCACGGCGCCCAGCGCAGCGCCGAGCGCGAGCGCCGCCGCCCGCCGCGAGGGAGCTAGCGAGGGAGGGTGCGGTGCACCGTGCACCGCACTCCGGTCTCCGCAGTCCGCACGACAGCGCGGGTCGCAGACGAGAGGTTGCCATGAAAAGTACAATCACAATATGCATGAAAATAATTTGATGTCACAACACGGATACGGCCAGCTTTTCCTTTTCTACAGGGACCGGACCGCGAGGCGTCGACTCGAAATCTACTAATGGTTGGGTAGTAGGGCTAGAGGGTCGCTCTACACTTAGCCTCTGCAGCGAGCGAGCGCTCAACTTAGCCCCCGCACGGAGCCGGGCTCGGACTTAGACGCTGTATGGTCGGGGGCCATGAACTTAGACGGCACAAGGCCAAATCCGGGTAAAACCCGGTATACCTGCAAAAGTCCAGGTTTACCCGAAAAATACCTGGACGCGTCCCGACCAACGTATGCCGCGCACGACGCCATATCGCCTTGTCCCAGGGCCAGTGCGCTACTTGCGGCGCGCAACTCCTGCTCAAGTACGCGCACCGTACCATGTGCTGCCGCTATGCGTGTCTTAAGGCGGCTGCGGGGAAGCGGCGGGCGCGGCATGCCGATGGCAGTGCGGACGATGCGGTTGCGATGTGTTCTGCTTCAAGATCGTGGCGGTGCTTGGCATGCACTTCTGCGATCCCAATCAGCTCATCGCAACGAAGCAGCGCAACAAGCTGGCTGCTGCCAACAAGGCCCTATGCTAGATCTACCTCACGCGCGGATCGTTCAAAGAGGACCAGCATACACAGGCTTCCTTGACATGCGTTTGTTTGAGCTTGAGGCTATTTGTGAGAACTGTTTGGCTTGAAGATTGCGCTCAAGAAGAGCAACGAGAATCGGAAGAGGAGGATGCTGAGGCGGCGATTGCTGAGCATGAGAAGGATCGATCCGGATTAGAAGGCGCCCGCCGCAGGCGAAGAAAATTTGGGGGCTAGCGCCGTATCGTTGATCACGGTGGGAGCCTCTTGGCCCCAGGCTGTGCCACGGCCGACTTAGCCGATGTAAGAGGCTCTCGCTGATCTTAGACCGCGTAAGCACCCCAGCGTGACTAGTCACACTTAGACCCGCTCAGCCTCGAGGCTCAGAACTTAGACTACTACCCAACCAGTAATCTACTCTAGGAGGCACGTGAAGTTGGCCTGGCGCGAGCCATTGTCGCCGTTGACGATGTAGTCGCCTGTTCGCAGGCAGGGCCGCGCGTGAGGACGGACACTCTCTAAGAGCGAGGTCAAGAGCCGAAGCGCGCCGAGGTAGCCGAAAAGGGCAACTTCCTCCTTTGTCCATCCAGCGAGCGCATTGAGTCCAGGCACACCAACGTTGCCGAGGACGTCGTTGACCCAGCCGCCGACCCCCTTAGGGATCGCCCCGTAGTACGGGAAGTTGCCGAGGCAGCCAAACGGGTCTTTGCCACTGTAGTGATCGTGGTAGCTTGCCATCTTGCAGTTGGCGATGGCCAGCTTGGGCGGGCAGGCCTTCGGGTGTTTGAGGAGCGACTTGCGCACATCGATCGCCTTGCAGGGGGGGAGGGAGGGGGGCGGGGGGAGGGGCGGGTGAAGTAGGGGTGAAGTAGGGGTGTAGGAGTCGAAGTGCGTGTGAGGGCGCGCCCAAGTGATCGGCAGCGTGATCCAGACCACGGTGAGGGTCACATCGTCCTGCGCCGTCGTCGTGCCCCAGAAGGGGTTGTTGAGCACCTTGAGGCCCTTGAGCGTGCACACGAGCGGCTGGCCGGCGCGCTGGCACCTAGTAAACACGGAGAGCTGGCTGGCAGAGCTGGTGTGCCTGGGGGAAGGCGGGGGGGGGCAAGAGGTGCGCTCCAAGTCATGTAGTCGCAGAGGTACTGCCACGGCGAGCATGTCCCCCCATCGCCTTGTCCCGGCGGCGGCCAACTGACCTTCTTGCACTGCGTGTAGTCGCAGGGCACCTTGTCACCCCCCGGCCAGTCCTTGTCCTTGGTCAGGTCCGGGTACGAGCACTCGCCCTGGTAGTGCTCCGGGTTGTTGTCCAGGATGTGGTTGAGGACGTACAGGGGACGGACAGCCTTGCCCTTCCGGAGTGCATTAGGCTGAAAGGGTGTCGGCTGCACGCCGAAGCAAGACGCGAGCGAGGAACCCATGTAGGCCGACCCTGGCTCGGGCTTGTCTGCGTACGGGTCGAAGGTCCACGTCCACGGGGCCCCGGACGCACGCTGTCCGCGCAGCGGCTCGCAGCAGGCGGCATCATCCTTCTTCCACGGGCCATGCCCGTAGTTGTTGATCATCACAGCTGCCTGAGGCAGGGGAAGCAGGGGAGTGAGAAGCAGCATGTGCGAGCGAGAGACAGCCGGGAGGGCACTGGCCGCCTTTGAGACGCCCTGCGCGATGGTGCCGGCCAGACCGGTCGACTCGAGCACGCCGCCGTCAGAGAAGAAGCAGCGCGTCGGCTCGCTGAGCGGGCCGACGAAGTCGGTCGGCATGGGCTTGAACTCGTAGGTAATGTCGGCCGCAGGGTACAGCGGGGAGATGCAGGTGAAAAGCGAGCCGACGAGGCCAGATGGGGCGTCCTCGGGCTGGAATTGCGTGACGAAATCTGCCGTCAGGGACATGATCGCCTCTGGGGATAGGTGGCCCGAGGAGGTGATGGGCGCGCACGGAATGCAGCTCGGCTTCTCCACCCAGGTCGACGAGGGCTGCGAGTTGGAGAGGAACTTCACGTTCGGCGGGTCGACGCAGCAGGTGCCGAGGTTGCGGTCGAAGGTCATCGGACCGTTGTCCTTGCTCGGGTCGCTCACATTCTTCGGGTCGTACTGCGTGATGGCCATCCCGGGCGTAAAGGTGTACGGCACGACGCTCACGTTGTGGTAGTTGGGCTGCAGCTGCAGCGCCTTGTAGATGCCGATGCCCATGCCCTTCCTCTCCGCATTCTTCTTCGCCTCCTCCACTGTCTCCTCCTCGTCGTCCTTGGGGTGGTAGACAAAGGTAGAAACCTCGCGGGCCCAGCAGGCGAGCGGGCCAAGGAAGTTGCGGTAGCCCACGCCTGTGACCTGACGGCAGCAGCGGCGGGCTCCAGTAGGGTGAGCGGTCGGGTAAGAGGCGGGATAGTAGCAGGGAGGGGCTGTGGTGGGCGGGCAGCTCACCTGGATCATTTGCGTGTGCGCCATCGGGGTCGGCGCGCCGGGGCGCGGGTAGGCGACCTCGCACTCATCGACGTCGGCGAGGCAGGCCACGTCGGAGACCTGGTCGGGGCCCGAGGCCGTGTACTTGTTTTGCGAGATGCCGAGGGGGGAGAGAAAGAAGTTGAAAAAGAACATTCGGGCATAGGAGGCGAAGCCGATGGAGAAGCTGGGCAGGCACAGCCACCCGTAGTTTGGCCAGCAGCCGCGGCCGACGCACTTGCCAAAGGAGAGGATGCGGGCGACGAAGCCAAAGGGGAGCGACATGATGGCGCCGGATATAACGCCGGGGTTGAGTCCTCCTTGCCGACGGACCATCCAATTGTAGTAGCCAGTCTCCGGCTTGTCGCCGCAGGCCTTTGAGTTGTCCGTGAGGAGGTCGTCCCACGTAATCGAGTTCGGGTCCGAGTTCGCGCTGGTGTTGAGGAAGTTGACCGGGTCAAGCTTGGGGCAGGGCTTGTCAAAGTTGTTGAAGCCAGTCGGCTCAGGGTTGGCGTAGCAGTACGTCTGGCTGGCAAGGTATCCGCCAGAGACGCCTGGCAGAGGGTGGGAGGGTGAGTTGTGCGGGGCAGTCAGGCCGAGGCGGGGCAGGAGCGAGGCACCCGCCATCACGTCGAACTCGTCAAGGGCCGGTTTGTCACCGTTCGGGCCGACGCAAACCTTGTGCAGGCCGCGAAAGATGCCGTACGCGCTTGCGACGGGCAGGAGGCCGCCGCCGTTGAGCACGAGCGCGGTCTTGAATGGTCGCTGCGGCGCTGCGGCCGCTGCGGCGCGAGCTGTCGTCTTCTTGCCCTCGCGCTCCTTGGCGCGGAGCCCTTCCACGTAGGACGCCTTGGGCGCTGGGATGGTGGGTCGCGCGACGAAGCTCATCGCGCGAGTTGGTCGTGGGGCGTGTGATGAAGGTGAAGGAGCGCGACGCCGCGTTTCGAGCTTTCTTTCTTTTTGATAGTACTAGCACGCGCCAGTTCGCACCTGTGTCGAGCCTGTCTGCTGTGAGAGAGAGTTGTTTTGTTCAAATTCTTTCTTTTTCTGAGAGTTGTCTTGTCTAAATTCTTTTTCTGCGAAATTCTTTTTTTGACAGAATGCCTTCTTTTTTGCCCACAGACATCCCGCCGCCCCCGCGCGCGCCCTCAGTGTCGCGCTCAAGCGCAACCCCCACTATCTCCTCAGCTACGACTCGGCAGACCGCGAGCTCTTGGACCGAGCATGCCCGCCCCATCACCTTGCTCCGAAACCGCTCGCTCTGGGCTGGCTTCAACAAGCTCCTCAGTCTGTGCACTGAGCCACTAAACGCCCGGCCGGCGCACAGAGCCCCCGATACCTCACTGCCCCGGCGCCCACAGCTCGATCTTCTTTGGCAGCAGCTGGTTCGACAGGTCCTCTCCATGGCCTAGGCGGCCGCTGCCGCCCTCGCCCCAAGCAAAGACGGCGCCGTCGGCGGTGAGGGCGAAGCTAGTTAGTTCTTCCGCCGACACAGCGACGACGCGCCGCCCAGCAAAAGCCTCGACCTTCTTGGGCAGCAGCTGGCGCTGCTCGTCGCCGTGGCCCAGCATGCCATCCTCTCCATCGCCCCAGCTCCAGACGGCGCCGTCGGCGGTGAGGGCGAGGCTGTGCTCGTCTCCAGCCGACACAGCGACGACGCGCTGGCCAGCGAAGGCCTCGACCTTCTTCGGCAGCAGCTGGCCCTGCTCGTCGCCGTGGCCCAACAGGCCGCCGTCTCCCCAGCCCCAGCTCCAGACAGCGCCGTCAGCGGTGAGGACGAGGCTGTGCGCGGCGCCAGCCGACACAGCAACGACGCGCTTGTCCGCCAAGGCCTCGACCTTCTTGGGCAGCAGCTGGTGCTGCAGGTCGCCGTGGCCCAGACTGCCAAAGGCTCTATGGCCCCAGCTCCAGACGGCGCCATCGGAGGTGCGAGGCTGTGGTCCTCTCCCGCCGACACGGTGACGACGCGCTGGCCAGCAAAGGCCTCGACCTTCTTGGGGAGCGGCTGGTTCTGCTCGTCGCCTTGGCCCAGCTTGCCAAACCTTCCCCTGCCCCAGCTCAAGACGGCTCCGTCGGCGGTGAGGGCGAGACTGTGGCTGCCTCCAGCCGACACGGCGACGACGCCACCCGCCAAGGCCTCGACCTTCTTCGGCCACGGCTGGTCCTGCTCATCGCCGTGGCCCAACCGGCCGTACCCTCCATCGCCCCAGCTCCAGACAGCGCCGCCGGCGGTGAGGGCGAGGCTGTGCTTGACTCCAGCCGACACACTGCAAGCTCGCAGGACACCCTATCTGGGCAGCCCGACTCGCAAGGCAGCTTCTCGAGTATGGACCTGGACGAGGAGGGCGAGGCGGAGGGCGGCCCTGCGCCTGACGAGGCGGGCGAGACGAAGGAGGGCGACGGACAAAGTCGCGGCGCAGGGGGTCCGGAAAGCGGCGGGGCTGGAGGGGGCGGCCCCTCCCCGAACCTCGCCCTCGGGCGAGTTAGGGTCGTCGGCCAGGGAGGCAGGACTCCCGCAGGGCACCTTCGGGTGGATCTCAGTAGAGCCGGCAGGCACCCCGAGCTCGCGACGCCCTTCACGACTGGAAGGGCCAGGGAGCGCACGTGCTTTGATCGCAGGGGGCACCGTGGAGGGTGCACCTGCGCCACGGAGGCACTCCGGGCGGCGTATGCAATGTGGGGGGAGGGCCGGGGAGATGCTGCCTCGGCGTGCGCTGCCGCGACGCGGCACGGAGTCGACCGGGCCACGCCGGCGAGGGAGATGCGCTCCAGCGAGGGTCGCGTCCTTGAAACCGCCGACGCGTTCCTGGACGACAAGGCCGATCGACTCTGGAGGACGCGGTCGGCGGCGCTTCGCGAACTGGCACAGAAGGTTCGAGACGGCACGGATCTTGTGCTCCTATGCGCGGGTAGGATTGAGTCCTGTCACGGCGATCTGCTGAGGAAGGGGATCCTAGCCGACGCGGCGCAGCTCGAGGCCACCAGCAAGAAGAAGCCGCGCTCCGACAAGGCCAAGCCGAGGGGTCCTCGGGGGCCTAGGGCCGACTCGGTGGAGACGGCGGCCCGCATGGGGGTGCTGTCGACCTTCTACCTCCGGAACGCTTATGAACGGGACGGCCCGGGGCTGCA